TTTTTTCCAGGAAAATCATTGTAAGGAAGACACAAATGAACAGTACGAACAGTTTGTTTTTCTGTCCTACTAAGAAACAAGTAAACAAAAAAACAGCAGCTAAAATTTTGGCTACAATTTGCTAGCACCTCAGCACAATATCTCTAAGAGTGTCAGCACTGCTATAATTCTCCTCTCAGTCCAGCTTACAGCAATAGTACATAAAAGTACCTTAAACTGTGATGTAATATGAATTAAAATGAGAGATTTACTACATTTCAAATGCTAATGTTTTTTAATCACTTTTTACCAGTCATCATGCACCTATTACAAATCTCCAGAGGTAACTAAGACCAGAATTATGTCCAAGACTACGAAAAATGGAAAAAGAAATACTTAGTGGTTCTATATCTATCAAGCCAGCTAAGATAAAGGTCCATCTTGTATGTTGATGAATATTTTAAAATGTAATACGCTCCTTTTTTCACAGAAGTTACAGATAGCCAAAATTGAAACACAAAACATGAAACAACTAGGTGTTTTGCTAGTGGACAAGATCAGCACAAAAGTCACAGGCAACTAGTTAAACAAGTGCCTTTATTTTTACTGAAGTTTAAAGCAATGAGATAATAAATAATACAGCAAAAACAACACAGAACAAGGCAATGCACCTTACTACATAAGGATAGTAACAGTGATTAGGAAAGATACATCACCAGTTGCCCTAATACCTTACCATCATCCGGATCTGCAGCTGCTGGGGAGCCCCAGTTGCAGCGAGGATTTGGAGAGCCTTTACCAGCAACTCACATATGCATGTCAGGACAAATGATTGGAAACTGCAGTAGAAAAATTACTACATAACCTTTGTTTCTTTTGCAAGGCAATAGCTTCTGGTGAACACTTCTGGAAAGTTATATTTTTAATGAAAATGCAAAACTATCTCTCTCATATTACATTCTAGAAACTGCACACTTTCTATATGTAAAACATGTAGGTTTTAAACAGACTGAAATACAAACAGCATATCCCCAGCTCATACTGCATACTATATTTCTGCACACCTTATCCACATAGACCAGCAAAAGAAGAATCAGGAAAAGGTTCAGACAAGCATCCATTCTGACCTGCTTAAGGCTGAACAATCAGTAACACATGACCACTGTTTGTAACACATGGGAGTCTTGCTTAAAAAGCTCTAATATTTACTTTGTGGAATAATATATTCATTCCAGATAACTAGATCCATATGAGATCTGAGTTGGTTCTTGGCACATAAGAGTTTAGTCTATGAACACCATGAAATTCTTTTCTTGCAGTGGACAAGACTTGATGTGATTGACCGACATAGTTCAAATCAGTGGTGTCCAAACATTTTTGGTCATGTATCCCTATTAGCAAAAGATTTTTGAGCAAACACATCCAATATACGTATATTTATAAAGACATATTTCTGAAGTTCTAGCATTTTCCTCCTGCACCCTAACAACACACTTTAGACCACTTATTTTTAGATTATATGAGTGACATAAACACTAGAGGTGCTCTGGATGACAGACACCTAGGCTTCTTCAGTGCTGTGCTGTAGAAACTATTTCAGTGTAGAATTCTTTAATATCTGTCCTTGGATTCAGTTTGCCAATCACAAATGCTGGCTATCAAGCTCTACAGATCAGATTTCACCTTATGATTTTGATTTTAAAGGAAATTAAATTAGGAGGCACTGAGCAATCCATTGAAACAAAGCTACCTAAAGCTCCATCAGAAAGCAGTTCAAAAGGTTATTAAAGTATCGAATGACTCACAAGACTTCTTAAGGAGAAAAAATGAGAGACAATGGCACCTTAGGAGAGCTCACTCAAAAAGCAGACAGGTTATTCACAATAGCCCACGAACTGATACATCTCGTAAGGAGCTCATAAGGTTCTGAAAGTTGAAATGAATCCAAAGAAGACTGGGACACCATTACTGCAGTGAGTGAGGGAAACTAGAAATGCTGCTTAGGATCAGCATTGCAAGCCAAACTGAGGCACTCACAGCAGTTCACAACTGTGCATGCCTCAAACCAAGGCTCTGCACATAATAAAGAGCTAAGACATTTTTGTCACCGTCAAGGTTTTGGTATACCAAATGATAAACTTTCTTCATTTTATTTATATTAACATAACAATGCCCATGTTAGAGCTGCCCAGGATTTCAGATTAATATAAAATAGCAAGATTTTCCTGGAAGCCATTACCACTGCTGTATAGCTCAACGAAGTGTCTTATCAAGCACAGATAACAGATGTTCAATTTAATAATTAAAGCCTGAAAGAAACCTGGGACGTGATCGGCTGAGAGGTGATGGCTTTTGCCATGCAGAACTTCCACTGATCAGAGTTTAATGAAGACAGGAGACTTACATGCTCAAACAAGAGTGCATGCAACAAGCTATTTTCATGAAAGCACTCTGTGTGGGACAGCTCACCTTACTGGAGTGCTGTGATGGATGGACAGATTGAAATGAGCCCTTCCTGAGAAAATAGCAGAGCAGATGCAGATCATCTCCTGTGGGAAAGAGTAGCTTAGATGCGTGGGGCTCAGGCCAAAGTAAGAGCTCTCTAGTCAGGCCAGAGGAGGGTCACCAAGTGTGACATTGTGGTTGAAATGTGCTACAGATCACTCACTAGTTAAGAAAGAAGATGCAGCTATCATTAATGATTTTTGGAAGTCTCTGTCACACATCCACATCCTCACCCCAACTTTTAACATGTTCAAACACAGCCAATCCAGGAGACGTCTGAAGGGTGTCACAGGTAACTTCTTGTCATACAGGCAGTAGGTGTGCCAGCCAGAAAGGACACACAGCCGTGATGCTGTAGTGACCATGGAATACTGGAGTCAGGTTCCTGAGAGGAGCAAGGGAGGAAAAAGAAGATAGAAAAAGGCATAAGAGCTGTAAGACAGAAGAAGGTGTGTGGGTTTTTGGGTTGTTTTTTTTTTTGTGGTTTACATCAGCAAGCAACTAAGCATAACACAGTCTTTCAGTCACTCTCCCCCCAGCTACAGGAGAGAACTGGAAAAAAAAGACATAAATAGAACTCATAGGTAGAGAGAAAAACTACTTACTAAGGCAGAAGAGGAAGACAGAAATAATGGTAATAATATAAATACTAACATGTTTACAAAGTAAGTGATGCACAATGCTCGCTACCTGCTTACTAATGCCCACCCAGTCCCCCAGCGGTGGCTCTACCCCAACCAAATCCTGTTGGTCTTACTGTCTGGCAGGATGTCAGTTTGGGTCAGCTCTCGTGGTTCTAACCTCTTCAACTTCTTGTGCTCCCCAGCCCCTTTCATTAGCAAGACAGTACAAGAAGCTGAAAATGTGAAATGCTCTTGGCTTTGTGCAGCACTCCCCTGTAGCAACTAAAATGCCCACCTGTTATCAACACTGATTTTTCTCCTAAAACCAAAACACAGTATCATATCAGACACTATGATGAAAATCAAATGCCCCAGTTGAAAACAGCATTCCGTTTTACCTACTAATGTACAATGAGGATGTTTGGCTGAGTGGACTTGTTTAAAATTCTCTCTCTAAGCAAATCCACCTGCTTTCTCAGATGCACAGCTTACCTGCAATGACACCGAGTAGACAAACTGAGTAGTCCAAAACTACTCCCTTCTGAAGTTGTGGCTTCTAAAGATGGAAATATTCTTTTGACATCTCAGCTCTTTGTTGGGTAATGTACTGGAATTACTCTGGTCTCCTTTTAAGGTCCCAAACATTCCAGATGAGTTAGGAAGTAGCTTACAGCATTCTTAATGTGCTAGGCTGTTTGAGTTAAGTAAAATGCATTATTATTTCATTATTCCTTTTTTTTTTTTTTCTTTTTCTTTTCAGTTATGCTGTGGTTTGCTTTGAAGGAGAGTATGATTCAGTCACTTAATATAATCAGCAATTTAAATAGAAAGTTCTCTTCCATACTGGGGAAATGCTGCAGCATTTTTGCCTTCTGTTTCATAAGACATACAGATCCCGTTGATAGATTAAAAAATAATAATAATAAAGAAAAAAAATTACATTATCAGGGCTACCTATTTCTTTTCACACCCTGACCAGGGTAGTCAGACCTGAACAACTAAAGGAAACAGATGGACCTAGAAAGTTCAAACCTTGAAGGAAGAAAATCTCCAGTAAATAAAAATGCTTAGAGTCATAGAGGCAACTGTTCCATGGCTTGTAAAAATAGACAGCCCCCCACTCTGCAGCTTCAGCAGAACTCCATATCTAGTGATGTCATACTCTCAAATGCCCATGCCACCTCCTGTTTTCTATCCCTACTACATTTCTAAATCAACTTACATACCAAAGTTAATAATTGGAAGACAAGCCTGCTTGCAAAGATCCTTAGTAGCAAATTCTCCCATTCTTCTAAGACTCCTTATCTCTGAGTGGTTCCTTGCCATTGAGACAAACTTTCCTGGTAAATCTACTGAAAAACCACTCTGCTATTTCAGAAGAAGCCTTTCTTGGAACAAGCCAAAGAAGTTGACAGTTTTCATCTGAAACTGTTCTATCCTCTGCCCCGCCATACTAAGAGAGATAGTGATTGCTCTCCATCGCTACTAGTAGGTCAGCTTTTAATTTGACATTGAGACTCCAAAATCTTCAGTTGTGGTCACAAAATCTCTGCAAAGGACAAGTAATACATGCTTCAACTTCCTTTCCCATTTTTCTCGTCAAAGTGATGAAGTTACTCACCCCTTGAGAGTGCTGCTTTCAGAAGAGTTCTCTTCTGCACAGTAAGTCAAACAGCACTTACATTTTTTCCTCACAATGATGGAATTATTCTGTACTACTGACATTGAGGGCAGCCCAAATGTTTCAGATAACAGAGGAGATGCTCCAAATACTCATCACTGTTCTGTAGCAATAAGACCTGCAGCAAACACAGTGCCAATAGCTAGAGCTACTTCTGCAGAGTGCTATACTGCAGCACAGCACAATTTCACCTAACTGAAAGCAGTACGTACCTCAGAATCCTCTGGGCCTCAGGAGACATCTTTCCCGCAAGCAAGGAAGATAGGAAGATCAGCTCCCAAAGGTGTCAGGCCAAAAAAAAAAAAGACTCTAGTAATTTCAGTAATCCGTTTTACACAGTGCCGTGCATTTCAAACCTAATCTTTTTTTGGGAGGGTTAAGAAGTTAAGCAAAGGCCCATAAATATATCCAGTACACTAATCTCCAAGTATCCTCAATACAGGTGGAAGCTGCATTTAAAGCTGAATTGCTCAGAATATTTATCGAAAGCTACTTTGTGTTTTACAGCTTAAGATCTATTTTCAAGAATGTAATGCCTGGATAAACAGAAGTACTTTCCCCTTCATAGATTTTCTTAATAATTCTGGCCTTACTTTACAATGATAGAGCAAACAACAATGGCACAACCTCCCATATGAGCTTTTAAGGCACAACCACCCTATGTTGCTCTCTATGAGAGCAGGAAGCCTAAAAAAATAGGATTCTCAGAAACACGGCGTTGTTGAGGTCGGCAGGACCCGAGGGACCACCTGCCAACCCGTGATTCCTGCCCCTGCTGCAGCAGGGACACACAGAGCAGGGCTGCCCAGGCTTCCAGAAACCGCCGAGAAGACTCCACAGCCCCTGGGCAGCCCGCGCCAGAGCTCCCTCGCCCACAGTAAGCAAGCATCTCTTCTGCTCACACAGACTTTTTATTCTCTTTCCTTTGACTTTTGTCACAGCCCCACAATGCCCACAGCGATGCCACTCTCCCACCCAGCTGGGTGCCACCTCCTCCGTGCAAGTAGGCGCAGCAGCACCCAGCAGGCGCGCCTCTGCTCTCGTCTCCCTGGAAACACGCGCTTCGCGCAATCCGGCACAATAAAAGCGTTATCTCGAGGTCCGACCAGGCACAAATTCACCAGCCAGAACATACACTTCAATCCCTCGGTGCCAGGAGGTAACACGGGAGCGCCCAGCAGCTTCCTCCTTTCCGAGGGGGGAAGCCCACGCGGGGTCCCCAACGGCCGCCCCCCCCCGCGCGCCCGCGGCGGCGGCGCCGTCCGTCAACCTATGACGTCACCTCCACCCGCCGGAGGGCCGGACTCCGCGCGCAGCGGCACCACGCGCCCAACGCACGCGTCGGACGCACAAAGCCCAACGCAGGCGCCCTGCCGCTCTCCTGCCCGCCGCTCTCTTCGATCCGCTCTTTCTCGCAGGAGTACGCATGCCTCAACAGCGTGAGGCGGAGTCGAGAGGGAGAAGGAGGGTGAGGGGAAGAGGGAGGAGCCGGAGTCGGAGCCGGGGCCGAGGCGAGGGAGTGGGCTCCGCCTCCTCTCCTTCTTCCTCCTCCTCCTCCTCCTCGCCGATCCGCGACTCCTGCCTGCCGCTGCTCTCCACCGTCCCCGCGTACAGCGTGCGGCTCGCCTCCCGCCGGCGCCGCCGCTGCCACGACGGCCGCAGAAACAAAGGAGGAGGGAAGCGGCGGCGGCTCTACGCCTCGCAGTCCCCGGACCTTCGCTATCTCGGCGGCGACCCGCAGCCCTCTCCGACACCCGACGCCCAGCTTCCGGCCGCCGGCACCAGGTTGGTGGGCGCGGAGAGGGCGGCAGGGCCGGCTCCGAGGGCGTCTCGCCGGGGCCTGGGAGGCTCGGGCCCGCCCGCGGCGGCACAATGGGGGGCGCGGGGCCGGCGGCGTCCGGACCGTGACTCAGGGCTTTGCGTGCGGCTCGGTCAAGGGCCCGCCCCCCGGGGTTGTCATCCGGGCCTGACGGCCTCCGGGGCTCCTGTGCGCCGGTACCCACGGGGCGGGGGCAGAGCGGGCAGGGGGAGCGTGGCGCACTCCGGGCACTTGGCAGCGCCGGCCTCTTTGTCTGGCGCCGCGCTGGGCCCGCGCCGTGCTCCTCCGCGGCGCCGCGCTGCCAAGACTTGGTTTTGTCTTTGTAAACGGCGGTCCCTCAGGCGGCGGGGTAGGTAGGCCGGCGGGCCCCAGGTTTTGCGATCGGTTTGAAGCCTATCTCTTTGGGTCGCTTTCCGGTCTCTAACGTTAAAATTCGAACCGACGAAGCGCGGTGTCGGGACTCGCAGCGGGACCTCAGAGCTGGGCCGAGCCTCCCCGCCTCGCTGCCCGGCCCTGAGGGACTGCCCAGGGCAACGCTTCCGTGCTGCGAGGGCGCGGGGTGAAGTGGTGGCATCCCTCGGGCCAAGGCTTTACCCCTTCCGGGAGGCAGAACGAATTTTATTTTTGCTCCCCGCAAAAGGGAGGCGATCCGGCCGTTGTAGCCTCCTGCCCCGGGAGGTCGGGGGCCTTACAGTGAGCTGTGAGGCCCGTTGTAACACCCGCCGTGTCTGGGGCTGAAAATGGCTGTTGGGGATGACGAGCCGGTGATGCTGCACTTCCCTGATTGAATTTCGGTCTTCTCGCTCTCTCTTCCTTTAGAAAGGAAGCCGCGGTCCTGTTAATCAGATTTCATATCTTGCTCTCGCTGTGGGTGTATGCGCGGCTGCCTCGGCCTTGTGGGCTGTACGGAGCTGTCAGCCCTTGGAGATATAAATAGAAGCTGATTTCAGAGGCCCCTATTGACGGGGTTTTGTGTATGAGCCTGCAGCTCAGCCTGTCACATTGCAGCCTTGTGACAGGCGGAAGCTAATGCGCTCACCCATGTGACCCGTGCTTCTGAGAAATATTGAGGAAAGCAGTACACATGTGATGGCATTGGGAGCTGGCTTTTTAAAGGAGGGAAGCTATATCTGTAGGAACACTTCAGCTAGCTGCTGACATTCATAGGTGTTCCACTAGGGAGGAATTGGAGAAGTGTGTAATTTGTCTGGTCTGAAGACCTTGTTTCAGCCATTGCTGGTTCAGAACCTGATACAGCAAAACCTAGCGTACTAGATAGTGGATTCCGCTTGGTAAGTTTTTTTATAACTGTTCACCTGTGTGTGCGATAAATAAAAATAAATGGTTAGACCTGGATCTTCTTCAGAAGCATGAAAAACACCATTTCTGAAGGGCTGGACAACAGCCCATCTTTTCTGTTAGGGATGTACATTTGAAATAATGGAAGGAGCTGCAGACCAAGCAGTTGTCAAGGCTTGCTGTTTGTAGTATTTTAAAAACAGTGTTAGCACCTGAAGCTGGATGCTTTAGGTGGTAAAATATGATTCACAATATGAATCAGATTCACAGCTTGAATCTAATCTGAACTGGAACGTATTAGTTGAGATTGATGGTGGCAGCATATTTGATAGTGTTTTAAGCTTACCTACTTAACAAGAGGGCAGAAATGGGCTCTTTGTTTTTCTCTAAGTGTAAACCTAGAATGTAGATGAGAGGTTTTAGATTTGCGTAGTTTAGTCATGGTTTAAGCTGACTTCCGTGTCTGACGTGTAAGGCTGTAGAAATGCAGTGTTGTTGAGTGTTTTATCGAAGTGGAAATGACTGCGTGTACCAATGCAGCTCTATTTATAGCTGGGGAAAAAATCAGGTTCCATAATCACCTGCAGGAAAAAAATAAAAAAAAAAAAAAAAAATCTCCTGTTTCTGCATTATTTTTCTCTTAGAAACTTAGTTGAATTGGACAAAGGCTACTGTCAGTTGCAATTACTAAGCTATTGAAATCTGACTTTACAGTAATTGCTGTGTAGCATTTAATTAATTATAAAAAGTGTTATTCTGTGCAGCATAATAAATGTGCTTTCAGCATTCTTGAGTTCTCACAAGTATCAGCTGTGAAATATCTCTTTTTTTGACTTTCCCTGAGTAGGAAGGCTGTCATCTAAAGAAGATATGCAAATGTCTTCAGGATTTAGAAACACTATACTTGGCATGTGGAGATCAGTGCAATATGCTTACATGTCCTCAATTTGTATTACATTGCTTGATTTCAGTGCTCAAGTTTTGTTGCCCTTGCAAATTAAAGGCTTTGTTTCTGTATCGGTTTTTCTGCTCACCTTACTTTGCTGAGATTCACCAGCAGTAAAGGGGGAATATTGTTATTTGTAACTACTGCTGTTTGCCTTACGGACTTAGGCATTGTCTGTTGGAGGGTTTGGAAGTCTTGATATAACTTTATTAATACAAATAATTTAAATGACTCTTTTGAGAAATGTCAGCAGCATGATGGGATGTACCTGGGAAAGCAAAGTCAGGTCTAATCCTATTTCAGAAATATTGTTTAGATTCTGTTGAAGAGACTGTTGTGCACTTGTTGTTGCCAGTTAATACTCAGTATCAACTTTCATACACAGCCTGAGGAGTATTTGAGGCCTTGTTTTGGAAACTTCTTCTAAAGATACGAATACAGGTTTTAACTGGCTGTTGCCAATACTTCAGGGATCTTACTGTTGTTTTTTTTTTTTGTTGTTGTTGTTGTTGTTTTTTAACAAATGGACTGTGGAAGTTAATCCTGCTAGTAATAGAATAAATGTCAAAATGTTGCAAAATCAACATTATTGAAAAAGCGGAGTGATTCTGAATGGAATTTGGTAAAATAAGCTGTTAATTGCCAAAATGGTATAGCAGATACAAGGTTGATTTTGCTTATTCTGCATATCCATGCTAATGCTCAGAGGTTGATAACGAAGGGCTTTTTGCCATGAATTGAATTTGGTCATAACCTGTACACGCAGCTCAGTGTTTGACAAGCATGCTACTTCTCAGTATCATCAGCATGATAACTTTTTTTCTTGTCTTAAGGATATGTAATGATGTTACTTAACAATACAACTGCAGTATTGAATGGCTCATTAATATCCATGAATCTCTTTTTAAGAATGCTGATATCATTTTATGGGAGCAGGGTGAGCAGACGTGCTTTAATTCTGTAACCCTGTAATTGATTTTGGTGACATGTCTGCTCCTAATGCAGTTCTTGCTTTTATTTACAGCATCGAGATGACTCAGGAGACAAACCAGACCCCAGGGCCTATGCTTTGTAGTACAGGATGTGGATTTTATGGAAATCCTAGGACAAACGGGATGTGTTCTGTTTGCTACAAAGAACATCTTCAACGGCAGCAGAACAGTGGCAGAATCAGTCCAATGGGTAAGAGTTTACAATATCCCTGTTTTCTTGGTTTTATTTTATTTTGAATTAAAACATAAAACTGATGAAGAGGAATCCCATAACATGTTTTGGGAGAACTTCTGAATGTTGTATACTGAAATCAAATTTCAAAGAGTATACTTATTCAAAACGCAGTAAAAATAGGAATGTGTTTCTGTGCAATATGTTGTGATCCACCCTTAATTTTCTTCTCCACTTATTTCTAGTGTCAGTATATTCTTACATGATATTACAGTTGTTAGTAATATAGTCTGTCTTTTAAGTAAGAGGTGTGCAGTATAATGAATAATGTATGCAAGTTCATAACTATATGCAAGAATATTTGACTAATGTATTCTACAACTTGTTTATAATGACTTAAATTCTTGTTTTGTAGGACCAGCCACTGGTTCAAACAGTCCTACCTCAGACTCTACATCTGTTCAGAGAGCAGATACTACTAGCTTAAACAACTGTGATGGTGTTTCTGGCAGCACATCTGAAAAATCGAGGTAAGATGAAAGTATTATTTTGAGTTTCAGATGAGCTGTGAGTATGTAGCAAGTTAATGGTTGGCAGTAAATTTGACCCACTTCACTCAATTTCTTAGGAGCAGAAGGCACACCTGACAGTGCTTTTCTTTATAAATCTTTGTAAATGACTAGTGATTAAAATGTTTGGTGTTGTACTTCTGCATTTGCAGTTTATCTGGAGAAGTATTTGCTCCGGATTTGACTATTTTCTACTATGGGGAACTAAAATAGAATCAAAAAATATTTTGAAGATAGTAGAAGCAGGAGTTAGGGACGAGCATCAGGACTAGTTAAACAAGTAGAATATTGATGGGTTTGGACATTTTTATTATGTACTTAAAACTGATGTAAAATTACATGTTTCACTGTACATGAACAGAAATGTGCCTGTTGCCGCTTTGCCTGTAACGCAGCAAATGACAGAAATGAGCATTTCAAGAG